TTTAAAAGTTTAAATATTAAACTTCTATTGCCATCTAGAATACTGTGCAAAATATTTTCACCGAAACATAAAACAGTTTCAAGCCATTTACTGTATATATTTTTGCCATTAATTGTAATAATCCAGTAAGGTTTTTGAATGCACAAGGAGTGTGACAACAGCTGGTATTTCCCAAGAAATAGCCAAAAATCTAGTGAACTGTTGTCGTCTTCAGCTGGTGTCTGCCACACCTTTCCACATCGTAGCCAAACACACCAACAGACAGTGGACCAGCAAGGAGGATCTCAACTTTCACCTGGTGGCAACCGAAGAATCTGTGTGTAGAGTGACGGTAAAATGCTCTGCTGCCAATATTATTTATTCAGAAATAATTCTATGCTGATTTGATGCTCAAGAAACATTTCTTATTATTATCAAGGTTCAAAATGGTTGTGCTACTTCTCTTTCTCTATTTTGAACTGCTGAATCACAAAGCTAACTATTCCTTCTCAATGACTCATATTTTTGGCTTCTTTTTTGTGCCACTGCCACAGGGGTTTTCTATCTCTAAAGCATGGGCCAGGGTGGAAGACAATGGCATCACATACTGCACTCTCTACAACCTCATGGAGGGTGAGACCCTTTCACATGTGACAACCTTTGACCTTTGTGTTATATGGCTGAGATAAAATACTGCTTTGTCTTTTCCAGTCACTCAGAGAAACGATTGAATTTGTTTTGTGTATTCACAGGCAGCGGGCTGGTGGATGCTGCGGGTTATAAGCAGTACACAAATGAATGGATTTGTCTGGACTACTCTACTGCCAACTGCACCATCTACTGATGAGATCTGCTGGTCTTTGATAGGATTTAAAGGGATAGTTCATCCAAAATAAATGTTCCCAAGTGAAGAAACGTAGCAAGGAGATCTGTAAAATAATCCATATGACATCAGTGGTTCAACCGTAATTTTACGAAGCTACGAGAATACTTTTTGTGCTCAAAGAAAACAATAATAACAATTTATTCAGCAATTCTTCTCCCCGAGTTACCGTATTCAGAACGTAATCAACGTAATCCGCATTGTTTACGTTCAGCATACGCGCGCTGTCTACTGAACGTAAACAACGTGGATTACGTTGTTGGTGGAAGACGGTAACTCGGGGAGAAGAATTGCTGAATAAATTCTGTTATTATTGTTTTCTTTGCGCACAAAAAGTGTTCTCGTAGTTTCGTAAAATTAAGGTTGAACCCCCGATGTCACACGGACTGTTTTACCGATGTCCTTTCTACGTTTCTGTGCCTTGATCGTGGTAATTACATAGCTGTAATTCTATGTATGTAGGTCTTATGGGTTTGGAACGACATGAGGGTGAGTAATTAATGACAGAATTTTCATTTTTGGGTGAACTATCCCTTTAATACATTAATACATTGACAAAGACCATGAAACATTAACGAATTGCTCGTCATTCTTCAAATGTAGCTTGTAGTATTTTAGCAGTCACTCATATAAAAAAAAAAGCTTGACAAGATCACTGTGTTTGAGAGCACAATGCATTATTGTTTGAATGACAAACGAATAAAAACAGCTGTGTTGAATTGCACCATTTTAAAGTATTGTGCTTGTCGCAAATGCTTCCACCTCATCTTTGTAATTTTATACAGAGTGTAATTTGATCATAGGCTAGATTTGCTTCAAAAAATGTAAGGCTTTTGATAGTATCTGAGACATCCATTGTCTATTATGAACAAAAGAGCCTGAGATCTATTAAAGGAGCAGTATGTGATATTGACAGCTAACGTTTGAATGGGTACTGCAGTCCAAATTCAAAATATTTAAGAGTTGTTTCTCCCGTCTCTCCTCCTCAGACTAGACGCTCATGCAGGTTGCCAGATCGAGGACACGCAACTGTCTAGCATTGTTTATTGGAGACAAAAGTATGTGAACGTAGCATGTTTCCTAAATATCTGTGCAAAGATATTATGGTAGTTTTCTGATTTAGTACAGTCAAAATATTACATATAGAACATATAAATAAAACGAAAGCAAAACCTGTTATCAGAAAAAAGACTTTATTTGCTGTCCAGACTCAGAGCTTAATAGTATTTCATTAACAACAATTAATCTTAAAGTTGTGCCTTGTTGTACCATGACACTACTGCTGATTTAAAGAACTTTATAAACAAAGAAAAAAAATCACATTCATGTATGTGCTCTGATAAAACTACACAAGTATACCATAGTCATGACAATTTATCTGACCCTACTAAAACATGAATACAAGCTTACAATATATGAATGTTTCTAAGAAGTTCTGGAGCCTTTCTTTATGCTTCTCACGGTAATGGACGTTGTTGCTTTGTGTTGAGAAGGAATGAACGTTTCAATCTGAAATGACAAAGAGCATTTTAAAACTTTATGCAGTTTTATATTTACATATTGAATGAAAAGTTATACAGTAAAACAAATACGAAATATTATATGAGCCACTTAATAGCTGGTGTTTTAGTGATTTCTGTGAATATATCTCCTCAAGTTTCCACAGGTGTCCAGCAGGTGTGCTGTGTTTAAAGTTGAGCAAGGTTTAAAATAAAAACCCCTTAGTTTTTTTTTTTTTTTAGCTTTTTTTTTTTAATCGAATGCAACTACATTCAAACAATTTAAGCATAAGATTTGGTTACGAATCTTTGGCGAATCTTACGAAATTGGCGAATTTTCACAGTCAAAATCAAGTCATTTCACTAGGAATCTGCATGATCAGGAATTTCAAGTTAGGGTGAAATATTTTCTCATGCTAATTTTTCATTGGGTTAAAGTTTGTCACAAGAGCTGACCAGCAGAAAGCTACTTGGTTTGAACTTCTGTGTAAATGGTGCTTCATACATTGCTACACTAGTGACAACAGACAATCAACCTTTTTTGCTTGTGAAATTTCGTTAATGTGACAGTGTACATACTTTACATATAATAAGATACACTTTTAGGAAGGTGGAAAAAAAAGACTAAAGAATTTATACCTGACGCACAAGTAGCTCCATCTCAGGTGAGTTACTGGACAGATCAACCAGAGATTTGACATTTATTCTCAAGCCAGTAATTACTGAAGGGCCTATGAGAAAAGAATGTTATATTAAAACCAAATCTAATCTCAAAATTACTATAAAGCTACATTTCACCCCCAAAAATGATCGTTCTATCATAATTTACTAACTCTCATGGAATCTCATGGAACTCTCAAATATGTTTGACTTTCTTTCAAACAGGGTTACAGCTGACTAAAACGGAAACCATAAAATCTAATTACTAAATAAATAATTAAATAAATGTTAATTGAAATAAAATATAAAGAACTATATTTTATTTCAGTTAGTTTCCAAGGCAACATTTCTCATTTTCATTTAGTTTAACTAGATGAACTTAAACTAAAACTGAAATAAAAATGTATAAAAACTATAGACATATTTTAAAACATCAAAAACTAATAAAAATGACACATGCGCGCACACACACACACACACACACAATGTTTGTTTTTGTGAATTGTGGGGACTTTCCATAGACTTATATTACTTTTATACTGACCAAACAATATTTTCTATCCCCTAACCCTAAACCTACCCCTTACAGAAAACCTGTTTGCATTGTCACACTTTCAGATAAACATTATTTACTATTTTTAATGATTTTTTTCCCTCATGGGGACTGCAGGCCGGTTCTCACAATGTCAAAAATTTCAGGTTTTACTATCCTTGTGGGGACATTTGGTCCCCAGAATGTAGCATAAACAAGTACACACACACACACACACACACACACACACACACCAACTACTAGAATAATATCTCAATGATACTAAAATAACACTGATTAAACAGTCATTGGGGTCCAATGTTGTTTAGGATGACTTTGACTTTCATTGTAAGGACAAAAACACTTAATCTTTCATCATATTTTTTTTCTTTGCATTCCTTAAGTAAGTCATACATTTTGGAACAACACTAAAGATCACTCTAGCAAGTTCATGTCTGATTCCATAGCTGTAGGCTGACTAATATTCATTTGTGATGTTATACCAACTATAGCAACCAGCAAAATATGATATTGTACCAGGCTGCTGAGTTGATGGTGCAGAAGTCATTGTCCAGTAGTCTGTTGGTGGAGTTGATGTTGTTTCTGTTGTTGTAGGATCAACTGTAAAGTAACATTAAACAAACAGAAACCGGGTTTGTGAGTGCATATGCAAATGATGTAAATGAAAAAGTCAATATTTCAGCATTTTATCATTTAATCCATTATATCGTAAATTGAATCAGAGTAAAGACTTAGTATAGCTACTTTATAACACAGCAAAATGTTCAGCCTCAGCCTCAACCGGAATAATAATTTAAGATTAATTAAGTTTGAGCAGAAGTCAGTCTACTCACCAGTAGTGCTTGATTGTCCCACAGAAAAACACAGAAATCCAACAAACAGGACGCAAACTTTCTCCATGTTTCTGATCCTTTAGGAGGAACGTGTCTGAATAAGCGTTCAGTGGCTCTTCAGGTTTCTAGGCTGTCTGAGGGCGTTGATTGAACTGTGTCTCATGGGTTTCCATGAATAATGAGACTGAACACACCCCAGCATTGACAGCACAAACACAATGGGCGGAAGACGGAAGTTATTCTGATTTTTTTTGTGTGTTCACCTGATACCTTTGATTGAGCACGGGCCAAAGCATTTCATGAATGTAGGGTTTTATTGTTTCTTTCTTGTTGCTGCCATGTAACACAATCAATCAAAGTAAGTGGTCAAATGAAACCTGCATCTGTACTTCCAAACAAACGAGTTTTCATGAAAAATGCCAATAATCAAATAATGTGTGTTTACAGTAAAGTCTAAAAGTTGTACTTCTCCTTGAAACTCATTTCTAGGAAATGAAAACATAAAAGTGAATTTTAAACAACGAAAGCCGTTTTAAAGAAACACTGAAGTAATTAAACACTGAGTTGTAACTGGAATAAGAAGAATGGTGGTAGTGGTATAATTAGACATAATGACTTCCCTGGTCTTCAAAGAGACTGGCATCTGGTTCTGTCTAAGGGCTTTTGCACTTGCTGCTCCTGCTGCTGCTGCCAGTGCTGGGTGGCCGAGATCCTTGCGGGGACGTGACGGAGAGGCCCAACCCCAGGTCCACTGTCTTCACTGCGGGGGACATGACAGATTGGCTTCTGGGACTGCTGCTGGCTGATGGATTTAAGGGTCTAATGTGTATGTGGGGCACATAAGACAACAATCAGGACTTTCATGTCATGCCTATTTGTCTGGTTTAAGCTGTCACACATGACTGGATAATTATGCTGTAATAGGAGCAGATGCATATGTGGGTTATAAATCGTAATAGTTTGTGGATAAAAGCATGATTATGTGAATACCGATGGAGTGAAGCAGAACTGCGGGCTGAGTTGATCTTTGAGCTCAGACGGCTGGATGGAGTGGAAGCGGGAGAGGGCAGCGACAGACCAGCCTTAAAAGAGGAAAATAAGGACATTAACCATTAGAGTTAATAAGTAACCTCATTTCTATGAAAAGCTAGTAATTATTAAAGCAACAGGAATTCATCTGATAGCTGACACCACTGTAAACATGTAAAACTGTTTAAAAGTAGGTAAGATTGTTTTAGTGTCCCTTATGCTTACCAAGGCAGCCTTTGATCTAAAATAAAATAAAATTGAATTTGAATTTAAAATAAATGTTTTCTCTTTTAATATATTTTAAAATGTAATTCCTGTAATGGTAAAGCTGAATTTTCAGCAGCATTGCTCCAGTCTTCAATGTCACATGATCTTTCAGAAATCATTCTAATATGCTGTTTTGGTGATCAAGAAACATTTTTATTGTTATCAATGTTGAAAACAGATGTGCTAATTAATATTTTGTGGAATTCAGGAATTCAGCATTTATTTGAAACAGAAATATTATAAATCTCTTCCTGTTCTTTTTGATCAGTTGAATGCATGCTTTGCCGAATCAAACTATTAATTTCTTCAAAATAAATAATCATTTAATTTCTTACTGTTACATTTTTACCATTTACATTTGAAAAGTGCAATTAACTTATCATTGCTTCTACTTTCTACCAATTTGTTGTTTTTACAATGCTACATGTTGCTTATCAATAATGAAGGGTAATTGTTCCTATGTCGTGCTGTACCTGCATAAAACGTATCTGCAATGCAGATGACAGGTCAGGATTCTCCTCCATGCTTTCCAGGAGCATCTTATTTACGCTTTTATTTAAGTCTCTAAGTTCTCGTAGCTCTATCTCACGTTCCTCAAAGGTCTTCTCATTGGTGTTTTTAGCAGACCGAATTTCCCTAGTATATTTGGCACACTGCGAGATAAGAACAATAGTTTAGGTGCTCAAAACTTATAACAGATAATCACAACAATATGGGTATAATCAGTTATTACTGGGCATACTGTGAGAGAGCCATATTTATATAGAGTTGTCACACTTTTTTAAGTAGTGGGCATGTTGTGACAATGGAACCTTCCATTTAACAGTCTTTCGTTAACTTTTTTTTAAAGCTAAATTCAATACTTATTGAAAAAAATATTTGATGATGAATCTGAAAAGATAAAGCAGGAAAACCGCAGGATATGTGAGGGCGGTCAGACCTGTTTGCTGGCTCTATTGAGTTTCTCCTCCTGAGAGAGGATGTCTTTGTTGAGAGAGAGCACATGGGCTTGAGTCCTCTCAACGCTCTCATTCTGGACTGCTTCCTCTTGAAGAAGACCCTCCAATGTGCGGGACATGCTCTGAAATATGTGGAACAACAAAAACATGCTTTATGTACTATCATCTAATTTAATTGGTTTTAATGCACATCAAAATATTATTTATTACTGAACCTGACCTAGCTAATTAACCTTAAGAAACCTCACTTTTCATAGGGCAGGTTCGCAGAAACCTGTTTGACCTGTTGTGAATGATGTTTTCAAACATTGTTTTTAACTCTTATTTCACCCAGTAACATAAATAAGTGAAAGAACAGTGTTTTACACTGTCTGTCTGGTGGAATGATTATGTCATAGAAATATTTACTTCGATGTCCTCCTGCAGTTCTCGGATTTGCCGTTTCTTGTATTTGTATTTCTCCTCGGCTGCTCGTCTCTGCTCCTCCAGCTTCAGTTTCTCCTGGTGCGCAGGACCTACAGTGAGACGGAGCACTTCTCAGTTTACAATGAAATTCTATGTGATTACATACATTGCAAAATTCCAGATATTGTTTATATGTTAAATAAAAACCTGCACAGTGTATATATCGCAAACAAGTGACATTTGCGTAGAGGTATGTCTTAAGCTAAATATATTTCATCTGAAAACAAGTTGTCACGACTGCATGTAGTTTAGAACCAAGAATGAGAATGAACTATTTCTAAGAGACTTTAACTCGTTCCCTGCCATTGATGGAATTGTGAATATGATCAAAAATGCTGGCATTAAGGCATGGTCAGAATTTATTGAGAAACTTTGTAATACAATAACTCGATAGACCAAATACAGTGAAAGACAAATAGTTGGTATTCCAGGTGTGTATTGATGTGGAAACTTTAAAAAAATAAAAATAAAAAAAAAGAGAGAGAGAGAAAGGGTTTCTGAAAACCAAAAATTAGAACCACTACACAGTAACCATAAACGTTAACATGGAACAATGAACAGAGAAACTGAGATCTTCTGCTGTGTTCCAGACAAGGTCGGAAAAGGGAACAACCGAGTTTAAATGTCCCACTTCCAACCTCAGGGAGTTCTATAGTCGCAATGACACAACGAGAGCATTTTGTGTCAATTATTGCAAAAACAGAAAAAAATTACAAAATGCTGCCGTTCGTTTTGCAAAACAGCTAAAAATTAAGGTATCATTTTATACACATAATGTCTAATGTTTTAAAGTTTGACTCCACACTATGCTCGTAGGAAGAAGTGACATCAAATGACGCGTCTCGCAGAGGTTGGGTTGATCAATCTGCCCCGAGCTCACAGGACAGATGTCCGACTTCAAGCGGCGTTCCAGACGTTATTTCCAAGTAGGAGGTGGGAAAATCCAAATTTCGAGTTGTCTGGAACGCAGCATATAATAAACTGAGGAATGATAATCAATGAACCAAGGAACAGGTGTGAAACTAATAAGAAACCATGGTAACAAATGAATGCAAACTCGAGCAAAGACACAGACAATGAAATCCATACCCTAGAAACTAAACAGAACATAATCGTGCGTGACACATGTCAATTAATATCAGTGTTGCTCAAGCATATCTGTTTCCTCATGCTTCACAGATAAGTTTACCAGACCACTTTAACATTAGAATCACACATCAGTGCATTGTGGGAAAGTGGTGACATTAGTGATGAAGAATGTTGTAAGAAGCTGACAATGAGTTATGGTGTTTGAGACTGACTTAATAAACACAGAGAAGGCCTTGACTATGGCTGAAACATCCCATGTTATTTAACCAAAAAAAGTTGTAATTCTTTAAGAGTGAGTGTTGCACCTTTTTACTATTTACCAGAGTTTTTGTTTATTGGTTGAACCTCCTCTTTTGTTGGTAAAGCATCTCTTTTTAACACTTATTTGTATAACATGGAAATATGGAAATATATAAGGTGAATGATGTGAATGTACTTACTGGACTCTGTGACTTTGGTCAGGGCTTTGCGATAGGTTGTATTGCAGTTGTTGACGACCTGCAGGGTGTTCTCCAATGCATGGATCTCTTTCTCTGTCTTGCGGATTTTGCCGTACAAATCATCCCCTTGCCGCTGGAGTTCTTCTTTCTCTTGAGCTGCCTTCAGGAAAAGTAGTCCAGGATTTATTAGATATTGAGATGTCTGGAGTGGTAATGTTCATTCTGATATGAAAAAGTCATGAGGTAGAAAAGCTATGAATTCAAAGACCCAAGCTGGACTTCTTTGTTTTAGATTTATTCATTTTAACCATTTTACATTTTAATATACTTTAAAATGTAACGTTTTCTTGTGTTTTCTGAATTTTCAGCATCATTGCTCCAGTCTTCAGTGTCACATGATCCTTCAGAAATCATTCTAATAAAAACAGTGATGTACACTTCACTAAGCATGCCATCACATTTTACTGATTACAGATCTAAGCCTTTTTTATATAGGAATCTGATGCATGAAGCAATATTAATTATTTTACTCTAATTCTACCTTGTACATGATGTAGCTCCGTGCATCTAATTGGCAGAATAAAATACAGAGGTATGATACCCTTATAATGAAGTAGGCCTGGGATTTCTCCTCGTCTCCCTCTGGTGCAGCCAAAGAAACAGTTAGGATCTCATACCTCTTCCTCATCTTGTCAATTTTGAACAGTGTCTCATTCACCGCAGCACTGAGGGCATTTGTCACAACCAACAGAGTGTAGAAAAAATCAATGCAAGAATTAAATATGACATGAAATCAGTGCAGATCTTCTACTTTTTTTCTGGTTTTATAAAAAGAAAATATTACATTTAGCAGATGCTTTTATCCAAAGCGACTTACAAATGAGGACAATGGAAGCAATCAAAATCAACAAAAGAGCAATGATATAATAACATAATGATAAAATATATAATTTATAGAGCACTTACAAATTACAGTGCGCGCATAATTATTAGGCACGTTGATATTCTGATCATATTTTTTTTCCAAGCACATTTTACCAATTCCAAACCACATCAATCTTAATAACTATTATTAATTTTGTATTTAATTATTTATCTTTTCCACGACATTCTAATTTATTGAGATGCACCTGTATAATTGTCCATGAAGGCTGGAACGGAAAAAAATCTTATATTCAGGTGTGCATAATTATTAGGTATCAGATAAAATGAGTCAAAAAAATTGATTTAACTTATTATTAAATGCCCATGAGAAGGATGCAAAGTTAAGGCATGACCATTGGAATGCTAATTTTTCAGTTTTCCCAGGAGGTCTCCCATCCAGGTACAGACCAGGCTCAACCCTGCTTAGCTTCAGTGGGCAACCAGTCTTGGGCTGCAGTCTGATATGGCTGTGGCCTTTGCTTTTACCCAAGCAAAGACTCTGAGAACCTGACACCTTGTACTTCTGGAGACTCCAGGTAGGTTGCAGTTCTGGAAAATGTTGGCGTTGGACACTAAATGGTTCCTGATGGTTTTACACCTCTAACACCTCTTCCAGCAGCAACCTAGTTTTCCCAGGAGGTCTCCCATCCAGGTACAGACCAGGCTCAACCCTGCTTAGCTTCAGTGGGCATCCAGTCTTGGGCTGCAGTGTGATATGGCTGTGGCCTTTGCTTTTACCCAAGCAAAGACTCTGAGAACCTGACACCTTGTACTTCTGGAGACTCCAGGTAGGTTGCAGTTCTGGAAAATGTTGGCGTTGGACACTAAATGGTTCCTGATGGTTTTACACCTAATTTTTCACCTTAATTCCTAATTCTTTTGCAGTTAACATGTCTTTTCTTCTCCACCTGTTTTTCTGACCGCGCTGACAATGAGCATTTTGGTGTCCAATGGTCATGCCTTAACTTTGCAAATTCTAGTATTGCATTAGTATTGCATCCTTCTCATGGGCATTTAATACTTTTAAGAGTTAAAGGGTTAGTTCACCCAAAAATGAAAATTAGGCTGCGTTTTACTCACCCCCGATGCATCCTAGGTGTATATGACTTTCTTCTTTCAGACGAATCCAGTGGGAGTTATAAAAAAAATTGTCTTTGATCTTTCAAGCTCTATCGTTGCACTCAGTGGGTGTTGCATTGCTTCAGTCCAAAAGATGTGAAATAAAACCTTTGTTCACCTCCCGGAGCCGTGTGAGACACTTTTTTTTTATGGAAAGGTGCTTTTTATTTCACGTCTTTTGAACTGAAGCAATGCAACACCCGCTGAGTGCAACGATAGAGCTTGAAAGATCAAAGAAAATTTTTAATATAACTCCGACTGGATTCGTCTGAAAGAAGAAAGTCATATACACCTAGGATGCATCAGGGGTGAGTAAAACGCAGCCTAATTTTCATTTTTGGGTGAACTAACCCTTTAAATCTCTTTTTTGGCTCATTTTACCTGATACCTAAAAATGATGCACACCTGAATACAGCCTTCATAGACAATAGGCTTGCCGCGATAGACGGTGTTGACGGTGATACATGGGCACACCACTTTTACAAGCTATTTAAAAGCGAAGGAAAGCGAGGAAAAGAGGGAACGCCCTGCCCCCGCGGTGATACCGGTATTACCGGTGTTGTCACACGTCGATTAACCGGTGGGAAAATTTCCTCACCGTCACAACCCTAATAAACAATTATATATCACTTATAAATTGCTTAAATACAAAATGAATAGTAGTTATTAAGATTTGGAATGGGTAAAATGTGCTTGGAATATCAACGTGCCTAATAATTATGCACGCACTGTACACAATTACAATATGAACACTTAAAAATTTAATAAAAATAAATTAAGTCATAAATCATGGTATTAATTTATTTCAATTTTATTTATATATTCATTTTAGTATAAACCTAGCTTTCAAAGCCACACCAGACATTTAAATCATTTTAAAACTCCACTGGCTATTGAGCTCTTTAGTCAGTAGTGTTTTACCTGAGCCCTTGTCTTTCCTGTTCAGTGAGCTTGATCTGTTTAGCGAGCATCTCTCTGTGCACATGGATCTCCTCCTCTCTCTCTTTCATGGCCGTTTGCAGCTGCAGACGGCTCTTCTCCAGGCTCAGCACTCCATCTGATCGGTCATACAGCAGATCTCTCAGCCGCTGCACCTCCAGCTTCAGGAGACCTTTCTCCACCATGCTGTCCTGAAGGGAGGAGATGTACACACGTGTGAAACGGACACAAATCTGTTTTGTTGTTCTCCCCTATTTATAAAATGCTTTTGCTAGATTACGTTATCTGCAATAGATGAAAAATATATTTGACATTTTATTAGGTGTTCTGATGGTGGGGGAGATTGTGTGGAATATAAATTCTGTTTATTGAGAAACTGATAATTAAAGGCATTATCAATTTTACCAAAATACTTCAACAGACATGAGTTTTGCAAAGTTCTGTGGCTTTTGCTGAAGAATTCTGTCTGATTCTTCCAGGTTCAATCAAGTTATTCACCTGTTTTTTGAGCCTGAGTTTCTTCTGATCTTTCTCAGAGTTGTCAATGAAGAGTTCCAGCTCATGGATCTTGGTGGTCAGTTCTCTTTTTTCTGTTCCGATCTTTTCTGTGTCTTTCCTAACGCAACGGATATCATCCTGAGAAATCAAAAAATCAAAAAAAAGAAGAAAATTATATATACACTACTCACTGTTCAAAAGTTTTAGATTGGTAAGATTTTTAATGCTTTTAAAAAAAGTATCTTATGCTCACCAAGGCTCCATTTATTTGATCCAAAATACAGCAATATTGTCAAATATTTTCACAATTTAAAATAACTGATTTCTGTTTGAATATATTTTAAAATGCAATTTATTCCTGTTTTGGCAAAATTTAATTTTCAGCATCATTACCCAAGGCTTCAGTGTCACATGATCTTTCAGAAATCATTCTAATATGCTGATTTGCTGCTCAAACATTTATTATTATTATTATTACCAGTGTTAAAACGTTTTTTTTTTAGGATTCTTTGAAGAATAGAACGTTCAAAAGCATTTATCTGAAATAGAAAACTTTAGTAACATTACTGATCTAAAACTCTTAAACGGTAGGGTGTGTGTATATACACGTAAATAGTGCAGTGCACACTCGCACCTGGAGTTTCTTCAGCTGTGTGGTGAGGGTGGCGGCTGTCCTATTCTTCTCCTCTAGAGCTTCTTCCAGATCAGAGGCCCTCTTCTCCAGAGCTTCCTTCTCCTCTGTGTTCACCTTCCCCTGCAAGTGTAAAGTCTTTCTCTCCAGCATCTGGATCTGAAAGTCCTAGACCAAACAAAAGAACAACACTCGAGTCATCTGTCAACTTCTAGAAAGCAACCATCCAGTTTGTGTTAACTGGATGATAATAACTATTTGTTGACAGAGACATGGTTCTCTTGCCTGGTTGGAGACGATCATCTGCTGTTTGAGCAGGTTCTGGTCCAGTTTGCTGAGACTACTGTCCAGGTTGGAGATAGCGGCCCGGGTGGCGCAGACCTCAGCCGTGATGTTCTTCTCTTTATCACGCATTCCCTGCAGCTCCTGACTCTTTCTGAACATGAGCTCTCTCTGCCGGAGCAGCTGAGCATCGATCTCCTGCACACACAAACAGTAACAAAAAACTTTGATTACAAATGTAATAATTCTATTTTTAAATTTAGATTACATTTGCTGTCAAATGTACTGTACTCAAAATGTCACTAGTAAATGTAATCTTTAGCAAACCTGTAAACGAATATCCATTTTTCATACTGTACATTATAATGTTGTGATGCCTAAATTCATTTGTAGAATTTTAAATGATTGATTTTAGTTTTTAGTGTTTTATTTAATGACAAAAAATGGTTCATGGGTTATGGACTGCAACAGTGGATTGTGTGTTGTATTTTTTCCAAAACTTTGCATGAAGGTTATTATTGGTCATTAAAACTAAAACTATTAAAATATTTAATTAAAATGAAGCTGAAATATGACATGAAATATCTCAACTAAATGAAAATTAGAAATGTTGCTTTGGCAAGTTAACTAACTAAAATGAGTTCAAGTAAACTTGAACTAAAACTACTAACTGGAAATAAATAAAAACAAAAATAAACAAAAAATAACATTGTGATAAAAATAAATTAAACCTAAACCTAATAAAAATTACAAAATAGAAAATATAACATAATGACTCAAATTGAAATGAAAACTGAAAATGTGAAAATGAAAGCTAATTCAAAATATGAATGAAAACTATAATCTATATAATAAAATAATAATAATAATATACTGCATAATTCTTCTCCTGGACACTGAACGGTACTGAATGGTCAATACATGGTACACAATATAGTAACATTTATGAAAACAGAGAGAGGGGGGGAGGGAGCAACCTCCTTTTATTTATGAGCCATATGGCTATTCAATGCAGAACAAAATGATGCCCAGATTGGCAGTGAATTGCTGAAGAGTTAAAAGGAGTCAAAGGAGTGAAACTCACTTTGATGTTCTGTTCCTGTTCTTTACGCAGTTGCTCCATCTGTGCTGCTTGTTCTTCACCATCCAGCACCGCCTCCATCACCAACCGCAGCTTCTCCTGCAGAGCAGAGTTATGCAGCTTTGCCTCTTCAACTCTACAAAAAAGAACTGCATATATTTTTGTTCTGTTTGTTCTATTCTCCTGATTGACTTTCCTATTTGACGTGAGTGAAAGAACTGTAAGGACCCACCCGCCAGCCCAAAAAGCGGAATCCAGCGGCCTGGTCGAAGGTTTATTTACCAATCGCACAAAGACCTTTAAAATGACACTAAACATGAAGGGGAAAAACAACAGGTTCACAAGATACATGATATGTGGGATATGCATATTCTTAATGAACTTTGAGTGAAACCTTTTGGGGGAAAAGAGGGAGAGGCAGAGCGGACAGGGGGAGAAGGGGGTCGTAAATGGGCGAGGAGAGAGGTGTTGTTTGCTCTCTTTGAAGATTTCTTCTCCAGATAAGTTTTATTGTTTTATTGCATGGCGTCTGTTTTGTGTGAGTTCCTGAGTATTGGTTTCATGAAGAGTTAATTTCATAAGGAAATAAATTCACTCCTTTCAGAACTGAGGAAAAACAAGTCAAAAAGTGACTGCTGGACTGAGTAGCTGTCTGAGAAAAGAGAAAGCATTACTTTGCTATTTTGTTCTGAATGTCCTTTTTCATGCTGGTTAACTGAGATCTGGTGGTCTCCACATCTGTGGCTGTTCGGTCTAAAGTTCCCTTCAGCACTTCCACCTGAGAGCAAAACACCACATTTGATTAGTTTAGAAAAACTGATGTATTAATATGTACTATAACATATAGATGTACTATAACATGGTACACTACTGGTATAATATGATAAAACCATGGTACTTTTATAATAACCATAATAACCATATTCATCTGCTATGGTATTTGCAAGGTTCCCTAAGGTCTTTGAAGAACAAAAAAATGAAATTTGGTCATGGTACCAAAACAGCCTTGATAATATGATGGTACTCAATCCAACTCACAGTGTGTTTTGACAATTGATACGCCTTTCATCGTGATAGACATTGTGATCGGTTTCTGGGTCATAAGCTTGAGGACAGTGGAGCGTGGAAACATGGATCCACATTTTAGGAAATGAGCTGCGGTGTTGGTAAGCTTTGGTAGACCCACCTCATCCTGCAGACAGCTTTGGTTCCTCTCCTCTTCCTGGAGCTGCTGCCTGAGTCGTAGCGCCTGACGTTCAGCCGTGCTTATATTCCTCTCCAGCTCCTTATTGTTCTCTATCTCGCGAGCTCAATGAAGTCCTTCCTCTCCTTGAGCATATCTTTCTTCTCTCTAATCACTTGGTTCACCTCTGCCTGCAACTAGAAGATCAAGTGATTGACATTCAAAGTTGAATAAACCATTTTCTGAATTAAACCGTAGATATTGAGATTTTTTATGTTTCTCATTACAAAAGTTGCACTGTATGTTTTCATCTAAAGAAACACTGTGGATTCATTCATGTCTTTGTGTTAAAAGAGTGCCATCTTCAGGTTACCATGGCACACTGCTGTATCTCCTGGTCTCTTTTTCTCATTTGTTCAATGGTGTTCTCCCACTGGCTGATCATCTCTTGTCTCTCAATGTGAGCCTGACGAAAGCTCTCGGCTGTCTTGTCAAGAGCAATCTGCATCCCAAAATACAAGTGCATTTGCTAGTCTATAAGAATGATGGCATGATCAAATCATAAAAATGTCCTAGTCACAACGGAAAAATGTGAGGGAGCAAGAAAAACATCTATTACCTGTTCTGTAACAGTCTCAGTGACTTCACTGTCCAAGTTTTTTCTCTTCTGGTTGGCTTCAAGAGTCAACTTCCCAATGTTCAGCGTCAACTCCTGTTTCGAAAGGCAGACATTGGGCCAGTTGCATAAACGTAGCCAAGACTGTTAAGAATGTGTCTTAAGAACTAGTTTGACCAACTAGCAGTTAGCCAAGAGGTAATTAGTATTATTTTAATGATTCAAATTGGGCCAATCTACCGTTTTGTAAATGTCTTTACGAAACGTTATGACCAGTCTTTAAGAAAACAAAGTAGATAACTAAATTTTTAAGACTAGTCTAAGCCGTTTATGCAACCAGCCAATTATGTTAGTTCAGACATACACACTGTTAACTATAAACTTAACAGCATACTACTTTATTTTAAAAAAATATTAAAATTTGTCAAATATGTGCCATACAAGTGAGTGAATCTCATGCAAAAATATAATAAAATAAAAAATAAAATAAATATATATATATATAAAAATAAATAAAATAATAAAATAAATAAAATAAAAATAAAATAAAATAAAATAAA